TCTTGTGCTGCAAGAGCCACTTTAATTACAGACTCATAACTTTTACTGTAATTGCAGATGGGCAAAACAGGAAATTTATTTCATGCATATAAAATATATTGATGAAGGGAAAATAGATTACACTGCAATTCCAGAGCACTGCATCAGACGTGCTACAGTCCAACAAATAATGCAGGAATCTTCTGTTTCATTCTGTAATAAATTCTATTCCAGAAGATGAGCTACTGTCTAGGGAATGTATGTACTTAATCTCTCATTTAAGCAATGTCCTTCTTCTAAATACAGGCAAGAAAAGAGGAAATGCTACTGGACCAAAAAGCCAATTCTAAGTATTCTTCACTAGCAATGATTACTCTTTGTTGTGATAAATCGTACTGAATGTATTCCTGCAATAGGAATATAATTGGTTTCTGTTATTTGAAAAATGAAAAAGAAAGTGTTTAATGAACTGCAGGTTTTGGCTGGTTAACTGGTTGTTAACATCTCAGGAAAAAATAATGACCATGATCCTGTTGAAGGGCTTATTTCCTTGTATGAGGATCAAATACTAGCAGAATAATTTTATACTGGATTAGTTTTGCAGGGTGCGTAAAGATACGTATTTTAAATCGATGCTGTTATTGCCAGTTTAAATAAGATCTAAATCTACATTGAATGCATCTTTTTTTTTTAAGGTTTTTTAAAAATGATGATATTTTTTATGAACTGAATTTATTATCTGTTCAAATGATTTCAGTATAAATTGTTTAAATGATGTTTAGCTTTAAATGACTGATGCACAGATCAGGAAGAAAGAAGCAGTTGAAGCTAGGTGTGAAATTTGCCAGCATGCTGCTCAATAGGATGGTTTCTGCAGTTCAGATAATTGTGCTACTGTGTTTCAACGATTAGTTTATCCAAAACTGAGAAGCCAATGGGGAGCTAAGAAAGTTGGAAAACCTGCTTCCAATTCCCCCAGTCACTATGCACTTTAAAAGGTGATAAGAAAGCAGCTTTGCAATGATATATACCAGCTCCCTTTGTACCATTGGATGCACAGTTTCAGGACTGTGTGTCTGTCTGGCTTAATTGTAGTGCAGGTCAGTCTTGCTTCAGTGTGGGTAGTGCTTCACTCTGCTGGGGACCTTTGAGGCCTGGGCACCTCACTGGTGAAATCTGAGGCAAAGAAAGCATTGAGTACCTCAGTCTCATCTGTGTCCTTGGCCTCTGAGTCCACCAGTCTGTTGAACAGTGGGTCCATGTGAATTTCCTTAGTCTTACTTTTACATACTTACTTTCAGAAGACACCTTTTGCTGGTCTTCACATCCTTTGCTACTTTAACTCCAGCTGAACTTTAAGCTTTCCTAACTCTCTGCATGCACTCGTATTGTCTCAATGTTTCTGCCGAAAGTGAGAACCAGTAGGACAAGCAGTAGAGATGTGTTATTATGAATAGAGCAGATGTGGGGAATTTAGGCTATTTATCTTAGGCTAATATAAACATAACTTAGCTAATGTTAGGTTAATGATGCTAACCGTCTTATATGCGGTACATAATCTACAAGGAGATGGAGTTCCTGCTCTGAATCCTGGTGTCAAGGTGCCTGTTTGCTTTTACTGACTGTAAAAGTTGGAGAGATTAACCTCATTAAAACAATGTTAGTCTTTGTGAGCGCTCCCCATGCTATATAAGGGATGCAGCATGGCTTTTTGGATCGCAGATATTTGCAGGAGTAGCTTTCACATACACAATCGCAACGCATACAGAAGTAATGGGAGAGAAACTGATAGAATAAGGATTGAGGGATGAAGATCCATGATACCAGTTGAAGAAAAGCAAAAAAAAATTTCTTAAAACATGATGGTTTGGATCTTCAGAATGAATTGGGGTGAAATAAGGTAGAGGGAACATGGATGCTCTGGAGATTTCTAAGGTGAGAGATACTGCAGTGACTTTTGCTGGAAATGGTCATCACATAGTGATGCATGATAAAATTGCTCACCACCTGCTGACCAATACACAGCCTGACCCAAGCTGCGGTTGGTCCCTTGCAGATAACTCCCCCCAGTTTATATACTGGGCATGACATGTTGTGGTATGGAATACCCCTTTGGCTAGTTTGGGTCAGGTGTCCTGTCTCTGCTTCCTCCTGGCTTCTTGTGCCCCTCCTCAGTGGCAGAGCATGAGAGACTGAAATTCCTTGGTCAGGGTAAATGATACTGCGCAACAACTAAAACACTGATCTCAGACTAAAGCCAAAACACAGCACTGCATCAGCTACTAGGAAAAAAATTAACTCTATCCCAGCCAAAACCAGGACATCATCTCTTAAGAGTTATTCAGTGCATGAATCTTAAAACCCATCAGGTTTTAAAAGCTCCCTTTACAGTTTTTTTCTTTCTCATTCCCCCTCCTTCCCTGCCCTGCACTTTTTGTCTTTAGCTTCCTTCTCTTCCCTATCTCCCAGTTGATATTCACCTTACCAATGCAATCTGATATTCCATGTTTGAAAAAATCTTTCAGAAGCACGTTACTGTCCTTTAAATTATAACAACTTTCCCAACTGGTGAGTGGCAGCTGGATTCTCTGCTGCCCTATCTTCTTTTTACCATTTCGTTTCTGTTCCAATTTCATGCGTTCATTTCCAGTAAAATATTCATAGATGTATCAAAAGACTGGCCTCAATTTAGTGAATTTTAGGTTTTGATACCAATGTTGTCACCAAAGTGTCATTTTCATTCTTTCAGTTTTCATGTTTTCTGTGAGATGTCTCCAAAGGATGTCTTTTCATCAAATATAAATATCTGGAAATAATGCATTGAAAAATTTCAACCAGCCATATACTTATTCACCTGTGAGACATTAGCATATATCTGCACCCTCTGTATTGAACCCACAGCAGCTGAGACAGCCTTTGTGAAGATCTTGAGGGGTAAAAGAGAGTGGGATCTAACTTTATTCCATATTGTGAAATGATAGACATAGTCTAAACTAATGCTGTGAAGTTGCCATTGTAGCACGGTGTTAGTACTGTCTGCACATTGAACTATGTGACAGTTGTCAATTTTGACATATTCCACATTCCATACCTGTGATTATCCTGCAACAAAACTTTTCCCTTTAGGCTGAAGACGTTAACAACTTGAAGCATTTCCAATGCTGCAGAAGACTATGTCTCTGAAACTGAGAAGGCAGAAAGGAAGTTTATACTTAAATAGAAACAATCTTGCAGAAATATCTTGTACTGCTACTCTTTGTGAAGAAATTTTGAGTCACAAAGGACTGGAGTTTTTTACTGTCATTTAAATACTCAAATTCATATTCATTAGTAAGTAAATGAATAAACTATTGCTTGTGGTTATTATTTTGTGGGAAATACTAAAAATACTGAAGTGTATTTGAGCGTATGTACGTAAAGAATCATTAAGCTACCATTCAAAATAAGAAAAAAGATGAAGTAGTGAATATTATGTATTTTATTAGAATAATTCTAGGAGATAAAATTGCAGTTGAATTTCTGTTGAGGATTGGGATCTTAGTTGACTGAAGTAAGAAAGTCATGAATTAAGTTTTCTTCTTGTTAAAGAGAATGTAGCATTGCTCAGCAAACAGCTTCAATACGATTCACTTCATGTTTTAATAAATAATTTCTTAATAATTAGTATAAGAGATGAGGAATGGCTGAGGGTTTAAATAGAGTAATGGACAACATTTCAGAGCTATCTTGAAGCAAGAATTGGCAGGATTTGTTGGCAAGCAGCTGAGTCGAGGAATAAATAGGCTATCAAGGCTGTGAAACGTAAAAATGAAAAGGATGATGGAGATAAGGACTAGCAGCTGCCATATAATGTATTCAACATGCTTTTATCCTGTACAGATTCAGTTTATGACTGAGAATTCAATCATAGATGTCATAAAATCGTCATCAGGGCTAAGAGGAGAAACCATATCGAAAATGTAAGTTAGGTGCTGAATTAGTGATGGGGGTAAGGATGCTAAGAGCAAGTGAAGTCAGGCTGCCTTCTTGAGGCAAAAGGTCGTTTAGAGAGCTTCCGTAGTTGTGTGCCCTGTGCAATACCTCATCCCACCACCGCTGACTCCTGTCGCACTGTGACTTCTCTTCACTCTGAGCTGTGACTTAGCGCCAGCCCAGACCAAGCAAAGAGCTTTGCATGAATGGCATTCTGAGGAGATGGTCGCTTTCACAAGAGCCTCCTGAGGGCCAGTGGGCTCCTGCTGGGTCACTGGGACTCCTCCTGCCAGCTGAGCAGGTGTGGGCTGTTCTCACTGCATTGTGCTGTCGATACTGGCTGTCTCAGGACTGAGGCAGTCATTGCACATCATCAGTATTCTCCGGGTTATTTTTGTAGTTAAACTATGTATTTAAACAATGAACTTGAGAATTGATTTTTTTTTTTTTTTTAATACCTACTTCTTGTTCCAGTGAAGTCTTGCAAAATATCTGCCAGATCTACCAAAGATGTCAGGAAGTAGTATTCATCCAGAGAAAACTTAAAAACACTGTAATGTTTTTCTTACTGCTTTTCTAGATTAAAATAGGAAGCCATTTTTCTGTGAAGTGACCATACGTATCAGAGGGATGTGTGGGATACCAGATGGTGATGACAGTTTTAAATAGGGGAGTGCTGGAAAAGCAGAGAGGGGCTTCTGTGTAAACCTAAGAACCTTACTTTTAAAAATGTTAGTCTACCTATGTAGAATAAGCAGTAAAAATTGTGCAAAAGCTGTGGAGGACAAAAGAGGGAGATTTAAGTGTAATATTAAATGACGGTTGACTAAGGCTTTTTCTTCTTTCTGAAATAAAATGTGGCTGGCTGCTCATTCCAGGGCTGTGCAGTGACAGTGGTTACAAAATGCATCAAAGTCAGGGTTTCTGGTCTCTTGTCAGCATTAGAAATTTAGAGCAGATAAATGATTAAAATATTTGTCTTAATTATTATTTTAAATGGATATGCCCTTGCATAAAACAAAACTAATAATTTCTCTATTTCTACGCAGGCGAGGCAACGAGAACAGACTAGCGCTACGAAGACAGACCATTCTCCGGGAGAAGGGGAGGAGGCAGGCCAGTCGAGGGCCAGCCTATATGTTTAATGACCACTCAACAAGTCTTTCTCTGGAGGAAGAGCGCTTTTTGGATGCAGCAGAATATGGGAATATCCCAGTGATTCGCAAAATGCTGGAAGAATGTCCCTCGCTCAATGTGAATTGTGTGGACTACATGGGGCAGAACGCCTTGCAGCTGGCAGTTGCCAATGAGCACCTGGAGATCACAGAGCTTCTTCTGAAGAAGGAGAACCTGTCTCGCGTTGGGGATGCCTTGCTTTTGGCTATTAGCAAAGGTTATGTCCGGATAGTGGAAGCCATCCTAAACCATCCCGCATTTGCTGAAGGCAAGAGGCTTACATTGAGTCCTAGCCAGTCAGAGCTCCAGCATGATGACTTTTATGCATATGATGAAGATGGGACACGGTTTTCCCATGATGTTACACCGATCATTCTGGCCGCTCATTGCCATGAGTATGAGATTGTCCACACTCTGCTGAGAAAAGGAGCTCGGATCGATAGGCCACATGACTATTTCTGCAAGTGCAGTGAATGCAATCAGAAACAAAAACATGACTCTTTCAGCCATTCAAGATCCAGAATCAATGCCTATAAAGGTCTGGCCAGCCCTGCTTATCTGTCTTTGTCCAGTGAAGACCCTGTAATGACTGCCTTAGAGCTCAGCAATGAGCTGGCCGTGCTTGCCAACATTGAGAAAGAGTTTAAGGTATGTAGAGGGATACTGATTCTGACAGAAACAGAATTGGAAAATTCAATCAAAGCTCTTTCTCCCATTCCTTGAGCAGAAGGAGATCAGCATCATCTTCATAAATCAGAGAATAACATTGTAAAATATATAATTGTTCAATGAATGTAAAATTTCAACCTTTGGGAATGTCTTATTCCTCTGTGCTTATTATAATTTGTGCTGCTTATGTAGAATGTACGACTGAACTCACTTTCCACTTCCCATCGGGCAGAATAGTAAAGGAAGCCCTTCAAACCCATGGGTGAAGGTGGCTTAGGACAGGGGAAAGAGGAGACTGAAGTGGTACAGATTGGTCACTGGTGCAAGACAGATTGCACAGTTCTGTTCAACTATTATGCTTTCTCATTATTTTCTCATAGAGTGAAAGTTTTCTCTTTGCAATGTTTTTCATTTAGTCACAAAAATGACTGTAAATAGTGTCCTTCTATTCCTTCTTTAATATGCTGATTTTCTCTGTTATTTCTACTCCATCTTCCTTCTTTTACTTATTTGTACTTAGTTTTTTTTTTTGTGAACTTGATGAACTTAAAGACTTCTTCAGGATAACACAAATAAATTAATAGTTGAGACCCAGAGATTCAAGGCCCCTTAGATCCTTGAAGTGTGAGTGTTCTTTGGGATGAATGTTTTGGGGCTGCTTTATTATTATGTAGATAAAATGGTGCACAGCCTACAAAACTGTTAACCACAGTTTATTTCTGTTAAGACAGTAAGAATGTAAGCTTTTTGCTCTCATAAAATGCAATGCCAGGCCTTGTGCAAACATTGGCAGTGCTTAAACTAACTTAAGTTAGCTAAAATCCATTGGACTGGGTTTTCCTTATGGGAGACTGTTGAAAAGCTGATGCTAGTATATGGTACTCCTGTGACAGAGCAAGATATGTTGACTTCACCAGGAGGAGATCAGACCCCCTCCAAAGCAGTGACGGAATAATTTCCAAATTGAGTTAGGAAGAGTTTGAAGTCGTTCTGATCAATATTTAATGTTACTATTCATAGCAGTGGTACAGTTCACAAAGCCATGAACCACTCAGACAGACAAACCTAAACTGAGATGCTGCAATTCAGGATTAATTATTCCTGTCTCATGCTCATAGGTGTACCGTTGTTGTGGCACCAATCTGTTATACAAAGCTGAAATATTTCTTGGAGAGGGAAAAGAAGGAGGTGGAATGTGCAAGGGGATCTTAAAGCCAGCATCTGAACAGGCAGGATAGGAGCAGAGGACAATTTTTGTCAGTAAGATGAAATGCTGGGAAGAGCATTTAATTAGTGCAGCAGATTAATGTCTACCCATGAAGTTCCCAGCAGAAATCCGTAGGACTTAAGTGGACTGAGATTTCATCAACTGCTTGCATGTACAGTTCAGAGAAGACTATTTAAACCACATATTCTTGTCTTTTCTCTTTAGCAGCTGCTGAAGATGTGAACAAAAGGACTTGATTAACTTAAAGAAAAGTAAATTTAGAACAAATGAGAAAAACATTTTTCATATACCATAAATGCAGCCTTTTAAGTTCACAGCTATGGTGAGATAAATGGCATGTCTGATTTGTAGGGACTCTGTAGCTCCGTTAACCACAGTTGAAGAAAATCAACAAGCTAAAATCATCATCTGGAACAGTCAGCAGGAATTGTCCTTCAAATGTATGCTGCAGCATACAATTGTTGCAATGAGCTGGGAGTGCAGTTATTTGTCCCTGGTCCCACCAGTGCAGGAAGAGAGCACACAGGTGAGAAGAGGTGGGCTCATTCAGAGAGCAAACTTAGGTAGCCTGCCTTTCAGAGTCATGAGGAGGCCCTTCCCGAGTGACTTTTGGGTTTTTGGTTCCTCTCTTGTCTCAGTTGCCTTCTTTCAAATTAGAGCTGTACTTCTTAGTGTTGTATAATGAGTTACAACAGAGATTTTGAGGTACTGTCCTTCAACAGAAACAGGAGGCTTAGACAAGAGACAGAGCAGCTCCATATTGCTGGAAGTTAATCAGCCAAGCTCTGCTGGGGATGTACATGCTCAGCATGTAGAAATAAATGGAGTGAAGGTAAATAGGAACAATCAGGAGCAGGAGCACAAGGCAACATGAAAATTCAACTCTCCCTTAATTTGAGGTTTCACCAGGAGCAGCTGACTGGCAACATAAGGTCTTTTGGGAATGTTTTTGTAGGTACTAAAATCATGTGGTGGTTCTGGATAAATATTAAGGACCATGGAGTATGTTTATACATGCATTGATGAGAGTTGACATTTACACTATTGATAAGTGATAACTTTGACAATATCTAGACAGGCTGGGGGCTTGACTGGGAAATACCTGTCTTAAGTTCAGTGTAGACAGTACAAAGCCTTTGCAAGCAAGTTGCAGAATATGGGTACTATTGTGTTTACTGAGTGAGTCTGGGCTTGTCTGTGCTGCTGCAGGCTCAGATCCCTGCTTGCAGCAACTTATCTGAAAATTATTACTCTTGCTTTATTTCATGAGTTTCCTGCAGTTATCTGGATAGTGTGGTCCCTGCATGAAACTGTGGTTTTCATAAAAATGTGTTACACGTGTTAGGGTAATCAAGGCAATTTTAGGGCATAAATTAGCTGGACATGCAAACTTTAGCTCCACCTAGGGTTGGCCTCAGCCATTTAGAGTATTTCAAACCTTACTTAAATGAAAATTGAACTTTGTGGTAATACACCATTTAAGTCACCTATTATATAGTGTTGATGGGGTATTTATCTGCAGGGGAGCTTCCTAGTGGGTGCCTGCAGCCAGTGGAACACATAAATCCCAGGTTTTCCTCAGAGAGAATGGAAAGGGTTAATGTTCAACTGTGATGCTGGTTGTTTTCTGACTATCTTATAAATTACTCCTCTCTCCTGTATTACACCATCACTTAATGTTAGAGATAGCATTGACCATGAAACTGTGATTCATGCAAAATAGGAGATGCCATAATCAGTAGAAACCACTATTCTCTGGAATAAACTCCTCTCTTTGCTTCAACCCTCTGTAATGGTGTCATTTAGCGTTACACACCTGTTGCATTTGGTTTCAGATACAGTTTTTGCAAGTATGGTGGAAGATCATTTTTTATTGGGAGTAAGAACAAAAAAAAGTAGAAGATGACTTCTGCAGGAAAACTAACTGGAGAGATGTGTCAAGTGGAGTGTAAGAGTACTGTGCCAAGCAAACAGATAATTCAGGCTTCCTGAGTAATTCTGAGATCTTCAGGATTCTATCTTTTTGACATGACTAAATGTGCAGCTTTACAGGTTTGATATTATGCAGAATATTTTTATTTTGGGGGATTGTGCTCATAGTTTTTGTCATCTAAATTGTTTGCCCACCCTAGGGCTAATATCTCTACTATGTCCGTAAGGATGCAGATGATATCTGACACATGTTGTCCTGCAGAGATGTGACCTAGAGTTTTGAGAGCGACAGCTGTGGCCCAGTGCTATTCAAAATAGATAAAAGATTTGTGTTTAGTACAGAGTCCTCTGCAGCTACAATGGCAGCAGACTCTTTTATTGTTTAATGGGGTGGAATGGAAAATGTATTTTTAAATTAAGCATAGACATGTTACTGTTTGCTGCAAATTAATGCCAGTGCTGCCCCTTCATCTTTGGTGTGGCAAAATTTGGCAAAACTGTTTTTTGGCTAAACTGTTGAAGAGCCCTGAGCCAGTGTTGCCACGTGCATGTTGTCACATGTGTGCTGTACTGCTGAATTAAAGGCTGATGCTTTTTAGAGCCTCCAGCTATACTTCAGGTGCAAACTTTCTTTCCGAGTCTCCCAGGACTGGTTTTATAATTCATTCAGTTTCAATTTGCAGTGAAGGAAAACTTGTGGAATTAATTGTGTGTCTTTGGCCATTTTCAAAACTAAGTTAAGCCAAAAAAATTCCCATGTTCCCTTGACTCACATTAATGGTGAGAGACATGGAAGACTGTGGGAGAAGGGGAACTTTCAGTGAATGTGTGACAGAGTGTATCAATAATTTTTGCTGTCACTACATATTGAAGTGGACCAAGGAGACAAAGGGCAAAAGGCAGCCAGTGCAGTAGTCTCTGCAAGTTAACACACTTGATTTCTTAGAACCAAAGTTGCCCAAATAGAGCTCCCTGACTAATGTTCAGACCCTGACAAATCCTCCTGTAGCAGTTTAAGATATTATCATCCCGTCTGTCCTCTATAACCTTCCCTGGAAGGATAAATTCTTCATAAGGAATATGTCTGAAGACAGTGACCTGTGAACTGGAGCGGTGCCGTGCACTGCCTTCAGCTGACTCTGCTGGTGACAGAGATGCTGTGCCGTGGCTGTGGTGGAGGCGTGGTGCTGGGCAGCTCTCAGCTCCTCAAAGCTCATCTGCTGTAATCTGACCAGTGAGGGCATTTCAGATCAGCTACCACCACTTGTCATGGCTGTGGCAGTATTTCACAGGAGGGGAAGCAGGTTTAGTGCATTTGCAAATGAGAAAGTAAACGAGTGAAGTTTTTGAATGAATTTACTGGCTGCTAATATATATATATGATACCATGTACAAACTTAAATTCAGAAGGGGTATTCTTCTAAGTGTGAGTGGGGATATCTGGCTTTTCTAAAAGTGCCTGTTCAGTGTTCATTCTGGTAAACAGGACTACACTCAGACCAAAATCATATTCATCGTTAAAATAAGTTGTATATGATTTTTCTTTTGAGACTACCCAAAGGCATTGGACTCCTAGGAGTCACCTGAAATGGAAAATACTGATGAAGAGTGTGTGTGAGTGTGCATGTACAAATATGTCCTACCAGAAAATACGTGCCCACCAGTATATTGCAAATATATTACACTATTTTTAGGAGTTATTTCTGAATGCCAAATTATTTTGTTCCTAAATTTATTGAAAAATACTCCTATTTTCATTCGAGGTTCAAAGGTCAGATACCAGTTTGGAACAGTTCATGGTACCTAATCATACAAGGGTGCATAATTTGACTCTTACGAACAGTTTTTCTTTTTGTCTGTGAACCTTAAATACCTGCTTTTCCTTCCATTTTAAAGAGGACATTTATGTATTAAGATGACTGAACACTGAATCTTATCTTACCTGCTGCCAAACAGAAGATGATCTATTACTCTCAAAAAATGTCTTTCTGTAGTGCCAGGAAGTCCGGATTTTGGTTAATCTTTCTTATTACGCTTCTGAAGAGAGGGAAAATAAATAATACATTGAAAATATGTAGCATGTCATGAAATGGTTAGTTTTAGTATTTAACTTCTCTTGTCTTTGTAGAGACATTAAAGTTCCTTTCTCTTGTGTAACAGATCTGAGCTATCTTGCTTACATTACAGTATTAAAAAAATAAATCACTAACACTTTTATGTAGACATATAATAGTGTCTATAACTATTTGTTTGTGAATGGTTGCATCTATCTAAGTAAAGTGAAATGTAAAACTTGGATTCAGTCCTTTAATATATTAAAGTAATAAACTGGTATTGTGGTCTTGTGGGTAATAAAGCAGAAACATGCATGAAGTATAGCCTCAGCAAATAAATTAGGGTATTCTATATACTCAAAATAATGGTTTATCTTCCAGGGTGTGCATCTTCCATTCCTGCATGAAGGGAGTAATTAAAAAGAAGGGACTAAATAGAGACTAAGAGTGGGAGAAGAGGGAATGCTATGAAGAACAGACCGGAATAGGGGAAAATGTGTCACTACAATAAAAGGATTCCTAGAAAGATACTTGGAACATAAAACAGAGACTGCATGAGCAGTCCTGTATGGTGTGGGGTGGTTTGGAGGGTTTTATTTTTATTCTTTGGGAAAAATTCTACAGCAGTTTCATCTTTTTAGGACATTTTTGACACACGTATGAGTAAATCTCCTGTAAGGTCTAGGCCAGGGGCAGTATGTTTGTACATAATTTTTAGCTTTAGATATCCATCTGTATCTATAGCTACCTGACTTGCTGTCTGTCTAGCTATGTTAATCTTTTATGACCCAAACACAGCTGCAAGTAAGGGGTGGTTAATGATCTGTGGATTGCAGTGATCAAAATTCTCTTTTTCTGGTTGATTTATGCCTTTTGGAAAACAGTGACTCAAAACTTGAAATAGTCATTAAAGGATGTCCTACTATATTTCTGAAAGTTTTTGTTTTTGTTTTTTAACTTCCAATTGGCTCTAAAGCAAGTCTAGAGAAGTTGTTTGTAAAAGTTGATAATGTAGATGTCCAAGGTAACCAAGGTGAGACAAATCCTACTCTTTGAACGTTCAGGGGAAGCAGATGTCTGATACCAAAGTGCTGTTAATCTACCAGACAAAAAACCCAAAAACATGACCAGATGCAAACAAGCTATTGATGCTTACAGATGCGTAGCTGGGATGTAGAACTATTTCTCTCATGTTAGGTCAAAACAAGAAGTTACTTTCTTTTTTCTTTTCTTTTCTAGAATGATTACAAGAAATTGTCTATGCAATGCAAGGATTTTGTAGTTGGACTCCTTGATTTGTGCAGAAATACAGAAGAAGTGGAAGCTATTTTGAATGGTGATGTAGAGATGAGCCATAATAATGGAGAACATGGTCGCCCCAGCCTTAGCCGCTTAAAACTTGCCATTAAGTATGAAGTTAAAAAAGTAAGCAATTTTGTTGACCAAGCATGCATATCATGATAGTGGTATTAAATTGTGCTGTTATTAAATGTTTATGTTTTGATAGCCTGTAACACTAGATTTTGCCCAGATAAAGTTTATGTTTAATTATCCTTAGATGGAAAATAATAGTTTGTGATGGAACACAGGGTCATTAAAATAATAGATATTTAATTAATGGATTTACTGTTGCTGATAGCACATGCCTGCATGCTGGGATTATGCTCATCAAAAAACTTTTTCTTATACCTTGTTAGTGCTCCTCTGAATATGAGCTTGAGTTGTTGCTATTCCAGCATTCTTAATGTACTTCATATAGGTGTTATTTTAATAAAAGATTTTCTGAAAGCAATACTTTTTTGTGCTCCTCTTCTTTGTTACAGTTTGTAGCACATCCAAACTGCCAACAGCAGCTTCTTTCAATCTGGTACGAGAATTTGTCAGGTTTACGGCAGCAGACCATGGCAGTGAAGTTCCTGGTTGTTCTTGCTGTTGCGGTAGGACTGCCCTTCCTTTCCATGGCTTACTGGATTGCTCCTTGCAGTAAGGTCAGTCTGTGAAATCTTGTAATGGCCTTTTACTAACTCTTGTATCATCTGTATGTAGATTCCAGTCTGGCAAAGATAAAGCATGACTATCAATTACTTGTAGAAACATGTTATTTTAATGGAATGGCTTCAAGATTGCATGTTAGGACAATCATAATTAAGACAGGTAAATGTGTTATGTTAAAGGCTGTGTATATTAAATTACAATGGCTGAGCAAGAGTTGTGTTGTAGAAATTGTAATTCAGAAACAGAGTGAAATCATTCTTTATTTCATTGTTGCTGTAGTAGGCGGATGCAAAGGATCATTTCCCATTGATTCAGATATAGGCTAAGCTCAGGCTGTGGGTTGATTCCAGTTACCTCAAAGGCAATTTTATTTTTTATTATTAAAAATTAATAGATAGAAGTCACTGAAATGTGAATGCCAGAAGTTAAAACAATCATCATCAGTTTTAACTGTTGACTTGTCAAGACAGTGCTTATACTTATCAGGAGGTTTTTAAAGCAGTAACACAGCCTCCTTTGCCTCTATTTATAATGAATGCACAGGCTGGATTTGGATGCTACCACTGTGTCTGTTTCAAATGGTATATGAAGTATAGAAAACCTTTCCACTGAAGAGGGATTACAGTCTCTGACCTTTCTTTCTGAACTTTATGTTGAATCTCTGTTTTATTTGGTCACAATCCATTTTAAATGGACACTGATGGAAAATTCCCTAGAGAATATATTAGAGAGAATAAAAGGGACATGTAGGGTTTATTCAATGGGTTACAGTATAGCACCTATGATTTTAGCAGGTTGAATCCTGTACACATGCGGTGATTCCAAGGGAAGAGGAAGGTTGAAAGGGAGGACTGAGCCCTTTGTGTTGTTTTGGTTTTGTTTGTTTTTTATTCTTCTCTGAGAGGGGAAAGGTGGGCCTTTTTTGTTTTGACATGCTTTTCATTTATTTCAGTCTGGACAATAAAGATAGGTTATATAATTTTCACTTCTGTGTATAGTGACTGGGATTTTTATGAATGCTTTTGTCTTACAACATGCCTTGAGATTGAACGTACTTCAGTAATTGCCTTTCAGCTCTAGCAGTGACTTTCTATTTGTCATTTTCCTTTTTCCAATGATTTATCGTACCTTAAAGTAGTTTTGAACCATTGTGCATTCTGAAGAAAGCTATTTCAGAGTTCCTTTTTAAAGTCAAGGTTCAAAGGACAACATTCTTTAAGGTTCCACATCCTTTGTCGCTATTTAATTGTCTCATTGTGTGATATATATGTTGAATGCTTTTTGTTTCATTACATTCTGCAAATATAAAACCTAATCCACCTTTTTTTCATTAGTTCCCACTTCTTACCTTGTGCTTCACTCATACCTCAAATTTTGCTTTTTTTGAAGACAAAAATATTCACTCTTTGATTTCAGGATAGGATGGCTCCAATATGGAACATGGTCGGTATCAGCAGAGTCTATTCTGTGTATGAATAGATGGAATTTTATAAATCTCCTCTCCTACTGAGATAAAGTACCCATTGTTTTTCCAGGTTCGGCACTGTAGGGCACAGTGACAGAAGAGTGAAAATACTCACAGTATTTGTGGGGAAAATAACAGCTTGCAGTGGAGTTACTGTGACACATTTCTTTATATTCTGATGCCATGGCTCTGAGAAAGACAAAAATATCTTTACAAGATTTGCAACATCTCTGTCAGTTACCTATACAGCTGACCGGTTTTATGTTTAGGAAAATGATAACTTGAGCTTGACCCACAGGTATTGAATTGAGAGTTTCATATCTGAAAGAAAATTCATAGAAATACGTGGACAAAAACCTGTTGTTTTGAGAGGAATTCACTAGAGTCAGATGCTGAAAGGAATTAAAATTGCCCCTTATTTGGGTTTCAGCCAGCAATCCACATGGAGGCACTTTGAAGTTTTGTGACCTGTTTGCTCTGCATTTCTAATTGGTAATTCAGTGTATCAACTGACATAATTAACCCTAAACCTCTAGAATACTATTTTGTTACATGATATTTTGAAAGAGTAAGAACTCTTTTCAGTTATCTCCAAAAATCTGTAATGTCTATGATGTTCAGCTATAATTAATAATAGAATTTAGGATTTTAGTTTTATGAATTCTTAAATAATTTACTCAGCCCCTGGCCAAGATGAAGGATCTGATTTGAAATTGAGTCTTCTTTCACTGTTCCCAGCCTCCTGGGCTGGCATTTCTAAAAAAATAACTTGGTACGTTCCTACATGTTTTCTAGAAGCATGTTCTGAGGGTTGTACGTATTCCTCTTTCACACTGTGGTAGGGGAAAAGAAATTGAATGCTATGTCCAGTATATGAGAAGCTAGGAAATGCTTTTCCTAGGAAAGTATAAGTATTATATTTTTTGTTATCAGTCCTTTTCTCCTTTGTGACAAGTGTGCTACATAAAGTCCTATTTTATCATTTCTGTATCAATACCATACTCCATCACATTATGATAATGATTGTTTCTGCAGAGTCACAAGGGGAAATAATGTGAATCACTGACCGAGTCCTCAGTGATTTCAGGTGACCCTGTATACAGACAGATACATGTTGAAGTATCCACAGTGTAACTAGTGTATATCTTGTCCTAAACCAAACCAATCTACAAAACACTCTCCAAAACTCTATAGCAAACCAAAGACTATAGTGAAAAGGATCAGAAACCAGAAAAAAACAAAGAAAGCAAAACCGAAACCCACTTAAGTTACAGAATGAGATTCTGAGCATTTAGAAGACCATGTCTTGATCTGCATGCCTTGGTCTGTGAAAGGGGAGGAAATATATTATGTCAAAATGCACAGTGAAAGTGTATTAAGGAGAGACTCTAGCTTATAGAAGAGTCCAAACTTTAAAGGTTATGGCCTTGTTTTTACATATTATTTTTAATTTCCCTGATTCATACTTTCTGACCTATCCCTTCTCTGTAAAGAGATTGGGAATTTTAAGTGTCATTTAAAGATTTTATTGGATCATTGTTACATGGCAATGTCATAATAGCTTCCAGCATTTGTGTTATCAGTTCAACCATAGTCAATCCTACTTCCAAGGGAGATTTTAGTACATGTACGTAAAAGACTATTTTTGTCCCTTTTGAGGGGTGGAAGGGAGGGCACTAGTAGTTCAGTCTTTTAAATTTTCTATTTTTTGAACAAGGCATATATTAACATTACTTTCTTCAGTATCTTTACTTCTTTTCTGGGTATGTCTCTTTCTGGCATCTTGTCTCCTAACCCCATCTTCATTTGTGAACACAAGAATAATGCATTTAAAAGGACACTGTCAAGGTACTTTATCATTTTTCAGCTCTGCTTTATTGTGTGTTGTTTATGACTGTTCCTTCCTATCTTGAAATAAAATCTTTCCCCATGACAGTTACCTGTTCTTTTTGTGGTTCAAGCAAAATAATTGGTCATTGAAGTTAATCTTATGAGGCTGATGCAATATTTTATCTAATAAAAGATAAATTAATTTTATTGAGTGAGAAAAGTAATGAATGGCATGGGTTTGTGAAACAATATAATAGAGAAAGAAGATCTAATTTTGTGCCTGCTAACCTTGACAGTGCTCTTTTAACAGTATCTTCTTTTTACATTTGTCTAGTTCTCTTACTGTTATCTGTATTTGAGACCTTAGAATCGCATCCTTGGCTACATCCTCTTACACTGTGTTTCTGTAAAAGCTGACTGTAACGTCAGAAAAAATCTGACTTTGATATTGAAACAAGTGTAGCAAAAATGTGAATACAAATAACTTATCTTTCTGCTTTCCCCTCCCTTTTCCAGACCACAGATTGTTATACATTTCAGCTGAGATCCATGACACTTGCTTTCAATTCTTTCCAGGGAATTTTGGCAGAGATACTGTCTTAATCTAGTATTGAAAAGTATTTTTCTGCAGCTGCTAACCAAGTGAGCAAACTGAGACTTTTACTATTAATACAGGCACTCTCAAAATAAATAATTGCTAGAAGTTCAGCCTTGTGTGAACTTCAATTTTTTTAAGTGTCACTCTAAACCATTTTAAAGTTGTTCTTATCCGTGACATCCTGACAAATTTGAGGACGTATCCATTAAAGAAGTCAGGAAGGAGATGAAGACCCTATACAGAGCTATAGATTTGACTTTTTGAGGCCTCATGAATTTTTTTTTTAAAGGAAAATATGTTGAGAAAACTGCACAACAATTGTGCTAAGCTGAGTATCACATCAGCCAGAAACCAGAATTCTTTAGTCATAATTCACTTCTCGCGATGATTTAATGTTTTTAGTATAAAAATCTCATTGTCTTTGTTGCCATATAAAGATGACTAGCATGTAAGAAATTCAACAACTATAGTACATTTTTCCCTTGATTACCTATAACAGACATAGATGCCCCCAAATAATTACAGTTTTATTTCAAAACACTGAGTTAAAAATACATGTATGGTGAAACTGGTAGATTTACCCACTGAAAATAGTAAATAAGTAGGAACTTTTAAAGGTGACTGCCAGTATGGCATCATAGTAAACAACTTTTTCCAAATGTTTGTTCCTGAATGTTATTGAAATACGTATTTATCTGTGTCACTGTTCTTTTCTATACATTTTTGAAGAAGGCAACGCAATATCCTTGTGTTTCGTAACCTCTGTTGCAGCTGGGGAGGATAATGCGTGGACCATTTATGAAGTTTGTAGCCCATGCAGCCTCTTTCACCATTTTTCTTGGTCTGCTTGTCATGAATGCAGCTGACAGATTTGATGGCACCAAACTTCGACCTAATGAAACGACAGGCAACGTAAAACAGCTATTTAGGATGAAAACATCGTGTTTCTCATGGATGGAGATGCTCATTATTTCTTGGGTAATAGGTAAAAAGTAATTTTCACTTAAATTTGTCTTGCTATGGTTCAATGAAGCTGGATCCAATTTAATCCTTTGCTATTAATTTTATGTGTAAAAATTGCAACAAAGGGAGTTTATTCATCTGACTACATTCCCACACAGGTCTTGTATTTTTTACTGGATGTCAGTGGGATTTACATGTGCCTAGCTAATCACAGCCATTCAGGTTAGAGACTTAGGTGAAATCTACGTTGTCTCAATATAAATATGTTCAGTTTTATGACTATCAAAGGAAAGCGTCTGTGAGTTTTCTGTTTTGTTTTAGCCAGGCTGTGTCAGCCCCCAAGTGGAAGGATTTCCATGTCATGGGCCAAGTTTTTTGTGTCCAGTTGTCTCTTTCTTTTTCTCTTATTTTGCAAGTATTCCAGCAAATTGATAGTGTGTAGCTGGATGTGTTATCGACAAAAGGGAAGAAGAATATAGCCCCTGAACATTCAGTGGTAGATTTTTTTTCCCAAATTAGGGATGAAATTAATATTATGAATAGTACTCTGAGCTGACCTCTTCAATTTGGCAATGTAGTACTATTCAGCATCAGAACTTGAACCTAAGCATGTATCCTCAAAAATATTTTACCCGTCTCATTCTTATTTACAAGTCCAATACCATTTATACCAATGGACCACGTATTTTAAGGATCTGGGATCTGCTTGTTAGTTAAGACAGTAATATGGAAGAGTTAAATTCAACCTAAGTAAAAATCTGTTTCTATTCAAAAGCTTATTAATTTAAAATATTTTGCTTTTATGAGCTCTATGTGATTGAAATGGGAGCCATTTGTATGCCAGCTGATTCTTAGAGCTTTGAAAAACTGATAATCTTTATTTATTTCATCATAAAGCTATCTATAAAATAATATCATTGTGTATTATAGGAATAGCACGGCACTTAGATTTCCAAATAGTCCATAAATATCAATGTTTTCATCTGATAATAACAGAGTAAATAATAATTTCCCAATTTGAAGTTCTAGTTTTCTAATTCAATCTTTTTATTTATTTCTCTGTCATGCATAAGATGGTTTATGAAAAAAATGGTTCAATGCATGCAGATGTAGCATTGAATTTAGTTACTGTAATTAACATTATTGTTGTTCTTATCTGAAAATGATGAAAAGTTCCTTCAGACAATTTGGTAAGTGAAAAAATAGTGACATTGTTTCAATTCATTTTTTTATTGTCTCTCTTTAGAATCCTGTAGATGTAGTTCATGACTAAATAAATTTTATCTTGAAAAGGACAAGGATTTGCTCAATAAAAAGGATACCATAAACTAATACTGTACTCCTATATTTTATTATGAAAGGAAAATTATTAGGAATCAGATACCTGTTCCCTGTTGAAGAAGCATTAGGTCTGATTCATACTTTCATGCTGTTTTTTCACATGTATTTGCAATTGCAGTAAAAGAGACTGTACTCAAGGTATTCTGCAAATAAGGAAATGAGAGTTCTGCTATTAGTTCTAGCACTGCTATATGATCATATCAGAGCATTTCTGCTCTTCCCCTCTCCTCCTGTCTCTGTAACAGATGGTGATACTCATATCCCATTATTCCTTTTGAGAGCTTTTGTAGTTGTACAGGAAAAAAAGTGATATGAAAGACTGTTTTTATTACTCACATGAGAAAGAAGGATTGGGATGTATATGAATTGGCAGGTTCAAGGATTTTAGTTTGTGTTCAAACTCCCACTGACCAAAATTGTTTTGCATTTGACTGCAACTTGGAGCATCTTATAGAAAATAAAATATCAGATAAATGTAACGATAAAAAACCACACTCTTTTCTCTGTTCTGTCTTATACAGGCATGATATGGTCTGAATGTAAAGAAATATGGTCTCAGGGTCCAAAGGAATACCTTTTTGAGTTATGGAATATGCTTGATTTTGGTATGTTAGCAATTTTTGCAGCATCATTCATAGCAAGGTTTATGGCATTTTGGCATGCATCCAGAGCCCAGAACTTTGTTGATGCAAATATGAAAGATCTGACAAGTCCAACACTGGAGCCCAACATAAAATACTACACCTTGGGTGAGTTAATTGTACATGATTAAGATTTAACTAAATAAACTGATGAAGATGAATTGATTTTCTGCCAATAATTTAGTTCTACAATATACTGCTAGATAATTCCCATCCCTTCTTCTCTTTCTCATCCCTATTATTTCATCGCAGTTCTCACAGCTCTTTGGGGACTGGTCTAGACATCAGGTGCTGAAATGATCTAAGATTGAAATAACCCCACTGTCATCCCCCATTTTAAATATTATTATAACCCAGGTCATTTGATCTGTTCAGTTACACAATGCTATCCTGCAAACACTTGTGTTGGTACAACTGTAAATATGATGTACTATAATGCAGGGGCAGAACTAAGCAATGAAATGCAGGAGTTTCTTAAACCCGTTTTGCCAACAAAACCAATATTTGCCTTTGCTCAGAGACTTTTATATTATTTTAATAGTTCTCAATCCACTGTCTTTACCAATAAGAAATAAAAATGTTAAACTTGCGTAGAATATATGAGAAGTGTCTAGAAGCTATTTTGCCCAAATGAGGAAAAATTAAGTTCTGTTTACTGCCATCTTTGATCTTAGTTACCCATGAAATCTGAGGTAGAGCTAACACAGGTATGCCTGCTTATGTGAAAATGTGCAGTCTTTTGCCATACAGACATTTTCTCATTTGAATACAGTGTGTAATAGGCTTTGCAGTGAGGAGCTCAATAAACAAAACATGCACATACCTGTAAGAAACATGCAGCAGCTAACAAGGCAATGAAAATGCACCAACTGAGCCTTGTTGTGCCTAAAACCAGAGTAGTTTATTACTTTGTCAGGGTACATGAACATTGGCATTGCAGTAAATTCCTTGAAGAGTATAATTTTCTGATGTATGTAAGGTCGTTTTGACTAATGCTCAGCATCACTGGGTATGAATGTATTATAAAGCTGTACAAATAACTGACTTCTTATTAAATGGTTATGTGCTAATTAGCAGCTCAAATTACTATTTTTCCAAATGGCAGCCATTGTAGTATAAAGTATTCATTTATTTTGCTGGCTTTACAGTAGGGTAAACATGGATAACAGCATTCTGGGAGTAGAGAACCTATCCCAGGTTAACCTCTTCTCTTTGCCTGAAGCACAATAGTGAACTGGATTTAAGTGTCCCACATCATCAGGCAGTGCTTTAACCTCCAGCAAGGAAGGATTCTGGAGGATATTGCTTTAGATTTCTTCCTCTGACACTTTTCTGTAAATATTTCTTTAAGTACAGATTTGAACCTGAATTCTGTCCTCTGCAGCTGAGTGTGTTTCCTGTCAAAGACCAGTGTCACACTCACTCATTGATCTAAAGGGTGTTCAAGTAATTTGCACAAGTGGATTAGCTTCAACAGAAGAGATTGATAGAGATGACGATAGAAAAGGTGATAGAATGAGTGTTCAGTGTGTGCCAGGAAAGGGCCATAGCTGTTTCACTATGAGTAAAAAGATGAAATAAATAGAAATAGTAGAGAAAAATTATTGTTCCCACAGGTTTAGAGTTATGGAAGGCATTTAATGATTCCAGATCCTCACATCAAAACAATTTGTTTTGGGTAGCTAAAACAAATCACATTTCTAATTTAATGTATTCAATTGACACTGTAAGGTGAATTTTACTTAAATTCTCTAGCAGGCTGGGATTCAACTCCCAGAAAGTTACCTCAGTGATCTTACAGCCCACATTTATAATCAATGGAGATCTAATCAATACAGTCAGTGAAGCAGTGAAATGTTTCTAGTGCTACCTGGCTCAATTCAGTTAGTTAAACATAAGTGATTAGCACTGTTTGACTCACCCAGGGTTTCTTCCAGTTTTGTCCAGTTGCTATTCCAAAAAGACCTCCCATAGATCTGTACGGATATCTTGAAATGCTAACGGAAATTCTCATCTTTTGTTTCTAGCCAGAATAAACTGGGATCCGTCTGATCCTCAGATCATATCTGAAGGCCTGTATGCAATTGCAGTAGTGTTAAGTTTCTCCAGAATAGCCTACATCTTACCAGCTAATGAAAGCTTTGGACCACTGCAGATATCACTTGGCAGAACTGTGAAAGACATCTTCAAGTTCATGGTGATATTTATCATGGTGTTTGTGGCTTTCATGATAGGCATGTTTAATCTCTATTCCTATTATCTGGGGGCAAAACAAAATGAAGCATTCACAACGTAAGTACAGCTGATTAAACTATGATGATTGTGGGCTGGTTTTATGGAAAAACAGTTGCTTGCATTGATGTATTAAGTTTAGTAATTATTTTATAAGATTTGTATCTCTTAAGCATTGATTAAGTAGTCATTTTCTCTCTAGTGCTTAAAGGATATATTTGAAATCAGAGCTTGAGCTTCTGATCCTAACAATACCATAATAAATTGGGAAAGACAGGCTGGGAAGCTGAGATATAGTTGCCCTTTATGCGAGAGAGCAGCCAGAATGCCTCTACATTTGCCTAGGGATAGATGAAGAGCCAGTGTGAGCTTACAGGTCAGAACTAGAAGGCAGAACAGCACGGGTGATGTTGTAGTGGATGTCTGCTACAGAATGCATGATCAGAAAGACAAAGCAGATGAGTCCTTCTTCAGACAACTGGAAGAAGACTCACACTTGCAGAATCTGGTCTTCATGGGGATTTTTAACCACCCTGATACCTCCTGGAAGGAAAGTACAGCAGGGCACAAGCAATTGAGGAGGTCTCTGGAGGGCATTGACAATAACTTCCTGACACATGATCAAGGAGCTAATGTGGAGAGGAGCTTTGCAACACCTGACTTTTACAAACAAGGAAGAACAGGTTGGGTATGTGAAGGTTGGGAGCAGCTGTGGCTAACCTTGAGATTGCAGAGTTCAGGTTCCTGAGAAGAGAGAACAAGGCAAATAGCAGGACTGCAACCCCAGGCTTGAGGAGAGCAGACTTTGGGATTCTTCAGGGAAGACTCTCATGGCATAAGGCCGTGAAGAGAAGGGCAGTCCAGTGAAGATGATTGATTTTCAAGAATGTCTTTTCAGTGCTCAAGATTGGTCCATCTCAATGGGCAGCAAATCAAGCAGAGGTGTCAGGAGGCCTGTGTGGTTGACCAAGAGTTATAGGCTGGTTGTGATAGACCAGCTGGTTGTGATGCCAATCAGAAGGACCTTGAAAGGCTTGAGAAGTGAGCTGCAGGAACATTGTAAAGTTTAACATGGGGAAATGCCACATCCTACCCCTTAGAAGGAAGAACGCCATGCATCAGGACAGGCTGGGGATTACCAGCTGAAAAGCAGTTTGGCAGAAAAGGAGCTGGGCATCCCAATGGACCATGGCAAAGCCTCCTGAGCTGCACTAGGCTCAGGATGCTCATAAAAGAACAGAAGTACCTCAGAGCCCTTCACAGATGGGCATATGTCAGATGATCTGGCAGTGCAATCTGTAATAGCACTCCATATTGTTCCCAGGGTTGTTCAAGGATTTCAGGACACAGGCTGGGGAGCTTGTGGGACGGCATTCTGCCTGTGAGGGAGTTTGGTACAGGTAGGTCAGAGTGCAGCACAGCCCCTCCCTGCAGCACATGGGAGCAAGGCTGGTTCCTCCATCACGTGCTGCTGACATCTGTAGTTGAAGCAGACTAATCACTGCAGTGTGATACACATGAGAAAACATTTGTACTTTAGTTCAGACAATTCTGTATAGTCTTAAGGGTTAAAAAAACCCCATAAATCTAATTCCTTTTTTAAGGACTGCCTCTCAATAGTTTCCAATGGCAATAACCAAGTCCATCTTGGGAGGAGAAAATATATTCCTTTTTTTTTTTTTTGACTATTTCCTGACCTGCTCTTTTTTTTCCTCTCCACCGTAAAAATAGAAATTCTGAACTTACTGTCTTTCAGGGGTTATTTGGCATACATTTGTCATGCCTCTCCTTTCTAGATGTGATTTTAAGATAAATCACTTCAATGGAAACTCATTTTTCTGTGTGCTCTGCAGCTCTTGCCTTCTTCATGTCTGGCTGTCATGATCTTCAAGCTATTGCTGTTATGAAGTATACTCAGCCAGGAAGCAAACTTGGCTAAGAGGGAAAATAATGTTTCTTTTTTCAGTATTATTAGTTCACACAGTAGATAAAGTACCTAAAGCTACAAAACAGTAAATTCACAACTAAGAATTAGGGGGAGTTAACTTTTTTTTTCTTAACAATAACATGATAAAATCCAAATTTTGCTTTGCAATGCTACGTCTGCATTTTTAGACATGGGGATCTGAGATCTCTTCATCAAAGCAAGAGAAAGTATGTCTTCAAACAGATGGAGATAGACAGGAGAAAGTACCTCAGAGGTTTGGATTTATCTTTATGTGTGCATATGTATATATATATATATATAAGCTGATTAAGAGGAAATACATGTATCTAAATGAACTAACCTGAAAAAATCAGTATGCCCACACCATGGCTTATTGCCTTAACCCTGGATTGGTGGTACAGTGAGAACTCAACTGGATGTTTAAGGTCTGTGAGACCCATTTTTTGGAAAATGCTGATTTTCAGTCAGATCCCGTCTTCTTCCCAGTTTCAGAGTGTCAGCCCTATTAATGGTGAAATAATTCAGTCTGAGTGAACTAATGGTGCAATTAAAATAACGTATTTACAGGTTGATTATTTTTATTTAGATTCACATTACCAGCAAGAGCATAGCATATAGATTAAAGTAGTTAACAAGTGAATCGTTGTAATATTCTTTTGAGAATGTGTATGTAATTCCTAAATGGAATGAGATGGTTTTATTGTCAGTCCTAAATATTAGGAATCTCACATTACGAAACAGCCTGTACCTATGAAATTAGATAGTCTGCTTGTTCTGTATATCACTGTGGTAGAGTTCTACATTATAATGGAACTATTTGTACACTGTGTAAAAACGGTAACTGGCAATTTGAACAATAAGAATATACAGCTTTTCTTCAGTAACATATGTGTCTGTTCAATTTCTCCTTTCAGTGTTGAAGAAAGTTTCAAGACATTGTTCTGGGCTATATTTGGACTCTCAGAAGTTAAATCAGTTGTCATCAATTATAAACACAAATTTATTGAAAATACTGGTTATGTCCTTTATGGAGTCTATAATGTTACCATGGTCATTGTCTTACTCAACATGCTTATTGCAATGATCAACAGTTCATTCCAGGAAATTGAGGTAAAAATTCCATTTATTATGAAATATCACCACATTTACTGTTACAGCTAATTGTCAAGATCTGAAAATTTTCTTGCTCACATTTTATTTAAGAAAAATAACACATATTATTTCTCCTATATAATAGGAGAAAATACCCATTCCTCAGTACATTTATATTATAAAATACCTGGAAATTACCCTGCTGCATGTGCTTGCAGTACTAAGAACTAGACTGGACTAAGAAATTGCTGTTGTATTGTGTTATGTTCCTGAAGAGGAAGGGTTATATTGTGCGACTGTGAATCTTTCATTCGCCTCAGTTGTGGTTATTACATAAATACAATTCCTAAGTAATAACAATGAGAGGGAGTAGTGCCCCTATGCTGCAGGGATGTTCTTGTTCCTGTGCTTTGATCTTGCAAGCAGGTCTATAATACATTGTATTCTTCTTTTATTTAAACAGCTGTTGCTCTAGTCCTCTGCTGGGAACAAAACTTTACAGAGTAACCAGCAGGGCTACTGAAAATCAGGATGAACTTTGCATGCCATGGAAAACAAAGGGCTAAATCATTATCATTGCTTAGAAAAAAAGGAATCAGATCTCCAGAAGTTAGGCCATCCCAACCGTCCCCAGGTGACACCTTTGACACAAAGTAGCAGACTTAGATTTGACACCACTCTGGTCCCAGGTTCTGGTCTCTGGGTTGCGGCAGTGGTGCTGTCCAGCTTGAGCAAGAACAACATGCGTTCTTGAGGGAGGCTCAGATTCTTCTGACTCAGGAGGCCACGGAACAAGCTATCAGGTTCAGAGCAATAAAAAAACCAGGCTATTATCCAAAAGTGTTGTGACTGGATACAAACAGCTTCTACAAAAAGCTACAGCAATATTGCGTTATGTTCTTGAACATGAGGTCAGTCCTGTCTGCGGGAAGCCGTCTTGAACTTTATAGGTAGGAATAAAGTGAGTGTTTTGGCTGTCATTAACGTTAAACATAAACCACTGTGATGATAGCATATTTGATTTAATTATATATTCCAGCAAGTAGAAGGAATTGGAGGAGAATCACCTGTTTTTTTATCATGTTTTAATTAACAGAGTAAATTTTTAATTTAAAGTTCCAATACTGTGTCTTCTTCACAAACCAGATTATAGACTAATTGCTACAGAAGAGACCAGTACGATAAGAAATCAGAGTCTTATAGAGAGGTTTACATTTTTGTTATGTTAACATAGGGTTTTTCCATTTGCAGACATGCCAGTGTTCCAAGCAGTTTGAGTGTTGCCATGAATCTTTAACTTGGGCATTGTACTGTGTTCTTTTAATTCAGAGCTTTTGTTCTTATCAGTGTGTTTACAAAGAGGTCTATCTCTGTGAATCCTGTATTGCAGACTGTTAGCACTCACTGTGGAGTAATCAGTGATTAAATCAAATCCACTTTGTTCTTATGTAATTGCGTTATTTTAAATGGGTTAATAAGAACAGTTCCATTCATTGAAATTCAGTTTTCACAGATTATAAACAAGTTCTTGATCTGTTTGAGATTAATTTCAGCCAATTACATTCAAAACACAAGATAAGGTTTAGCTAGAGCATCTTCAGTAGTCAAGGTGGTATTCACAGTTTATTAACAGCCATGTTTCTGTTTTACAGGATGATGCTGATGTAGAATGGAAATTTGCAAGGGCTAAACTTTGGTTTTCTTACTTTGAAGAAGGGAGAACTCTTCCAGTACCCTTCAATTTAGTGCCAAGCCCCAAATCTTTGCTTTATTTCCTACTTAGAATCAAAAAATGTATTTCTAAACCATTTCTGTGCCAAAAGAAGAGCTTTCAGGAAGATGCAGAGATGAACAAGGTAATCTTCTAATGTGTATACTGGCTGCTAATTTAAAAAAATAAAAGTTCATTTTTGTTGTTGACCTGTTCTCATGATTTTCCCAACACAGTCCATACTGAAGTCAGTCACTAGGTACAGACTTAAATTCTTACTTTGTTTTCATATGTACTTGTCTACATCTGCAATCAGTTCTAAGTTTAGAAATACCATTGTAAATTTACAGTTCTTCCTGCTTCTTGTCATGGAATCAGAAAATAATTCAGGCCAGGAGGGACTTCAGAAGGTCTCTGGTCAAACCTTTTGCTCACAGCTGGATCAACTCTGAGGTCAGGCCAGGTTGCTTAGGACCTCATACAGTCAGATCTTGGAAACCTCCAAGGATGGAGACTGCACAGTCTCTCTGAGCAGCCTGTGACTGTCCCTTATGGGCAATAAGTTGCTGCTTTTACCTCTCAGTTGAATATGTCCGCTGTCTTTCCTCTTCTGTCCTGCAGCACTGTGAAGACCCCAAATCCATTCCCTCAGTGACCTTCCCATTCACACTGCTATATGCTGTTAAGTATGTCCGAATCCATCTCACTTCTGAACAAGTCCATATTTCTCAGTGTCTCTTCACAGGAAAAGTGTTCCAGCCCCAGACAGCTTTGTGACCCTCTGCTGAACTTGCTGCTGTTTTTTAATACCTTTTGATCTGTCCCTCAGCTCCCCTTCTCCGGTCCTTTTCTTCCAAGCTGCTCCCCAGCCATTCTCCAGCCTGTGTTATTGAAAGAATTATTCCTTCCCATTTGTCCTTACCGAAATTCACAGGGTTCCTGCCAGCCTTGTCCTCCTGGATGACATCCCTGCCCTCAAGACTGTCAGCTCCACACTTCCTCCCCCCAGTTTGGCTTTCCAAACTTGACAGGAGTGTGCTCCAACACCTCCTCTAACACGAACGGTTTTGTTAAAGATGTTTCAAAGGGTATGTCCTGGGACAAGACCCCTATATTACCCTCTAAGCACAAGCACCCAGCCACGATTTTGCCCATCTAGTTATCCACCCATCCAGGCAGTAACATCCTAATGTGGGTACAAGAATATTCTAGGATACAGTGTTAAAGCTCTTGCTAAAGTCAAGGTAGATGACATCTCTAGCTCTTCCCTCATCTGCAAATGCAGTCATTTTATCTCAGAAAGCCATACAGATGATTAGATCGGTTTGACTTTTCATAAATCCACATTTACTTTTCGCAGTCATAATCTGCTTTTCCATGTGTCCTGAAATGTGCTCCAAGAGTACTCAATACATCCTTTTGCCAGTTACTGAAGGGACGTTGAGTGAACTGTATTTACAAAGGGCATCATTTTGACCTTTTTTAAAGATGGGTTTGATGTTTGTCTTCCTCCAGCCTTTTTGGGACCTCTCCCAGTATTGTCTTTCAAAGACAATGGTGTATTTGCAGGGACTTCATCTGCTCTCTCAGCATCCATCAATGCAGCCCATTGGGTCTAATGGACTTGCCTGGGTCAAGTTCTCTCAAGTAACCCCTGACTTGACCCTCTCCACAGCTGCTTGCTCTCCTTTTCGAGTACCTCCACTAAGTGCAGAGACCTGGTAGACTGTTGGTGAAGCCTGAGGCAAAGAATGTGCAAAGTCGCTGAGCGCTTGCTGAATCTGCTGTCAGTAAATCCCCTGCCCCACTGAGCAACAGGCCACATTTTTCTTGTTCAGCCTTGTGCTGCTATTTTAGCAGTACAAGCTCTTTGTACTGTCCTTGCAAATGTGAGCTTAAGATGAGCTTTGTCGTTCCTCACACGTCCCTCTCATGCCTGGGAAGGGTTTATAAATTCCTCCTTTGTCATGGGTTGACCCTGGCTGAATGCCCAGCACCCACCAAAGCTGATCTGTGACTGCCATCTTCAGCTGGACAGGGGAGAGAAAATGCAACAAAAGACTCATATGTCAAGATGAGGACAGGGAGAGATCACTCACCAATTACCACCATGGGCAAAACAGAATCGACTTGGGAAAATCAGTTTAATTTATTACTCATCAAATCAGAGCTGGGTAATGAGAAATAAAACCCAATCTTTCCCTCAGCCCTCCCTTCTTCCTGGGCTCAACTTCACTGATGAATTCTCTAACTCCTCCCTCCACAGGCAGCGCAGGGGTGGTGGGAGTTGTGGTCAGTTCATCGCACATTATCTCTGCCGCTCCTTCCTCCTCAGAGATCTCCTCATGCTCTTTCCCTGCTCCAGGGTGTGGTCCCTCCCACAGGAGACAGTCCTCCATGAACTTCTCCAGTGTGAGTCCTTCCCTCCTGTCTCTGGCTGCTGTTGCACAGTAACTCTTTCCTCTTAAGTATGTTACTCTTGGCCAGTGGTGAGTCTGCCTTGGGGTCAGCTTGCGTTGGCTCTGTGGGATAGGGGGAAGCTTCTAGCAGCTTCTCAAAGAAGCTGCCCCTATAGCTGCCCCCACTACCGAAACCTAGCCATGCAAACCCAATACAAGCCCGTTGCTGCTTCCTCTGAGAGTGCCGCTGCTTTTTATTGTGAAGCGTTCTGTTATATTTTGTTTACACAAGTGCAGTAGAAGCACTTGAATTGATTCATTGCTGTATCTCATGGGCTTTTTTAAAGAGTTTGTAGTCAGTCTGGTTTTCCTGCAGTGTCTTGATATGAATCAAATTAATTTCTTTAGGAGAACATGGGACATAACACATGGTGTTAGGTGGTATTTGAAGTGTAAAGACTAGCACTGTCATAACATGTTAAGGAAGAAGAGTTTTGCAAGACAGCTGATCAGAGATAGTAAATACGAATTTGAACGTATAGTAACATTCACACAAAAAAGAAATTACAGCTTTGTCATGGTGGCAGAACAAATGTGTCCTTTATGGAAACTTTAACATGGAAGGATCTTTGTTAAAATAGGCAGTAGTCTAAGCAGAGGTCTTCTCAAGGTAAGGAGTTCTTGAGTCTGTAGTCAATAATCATTCATTATTAGACTGGGGACCAGTAAAGAATTTACATGCATCTGTCAGCGCTCTGTCACCAATGTGACAAGTGCTTTTACCATCACAGTTATCAGTTGAAGAGTAAAGAAAAGAAACTGGTTGCAGTCCTGGGGAAAAATACGGTGCCTATAACAAGCTTTTGCCTCTGGTTAAGTTCATAATAGTCTATAAAAACAAACACAGATACTACAAACACTGTCGCCAAAGTCAAGATTCTTATTAACCTCAGATGTCTCGTATGTGCTACCAGTTATTTTTCTAGCATTTCACAGGTCTCACATAATTTTTTGAGGGAAGTTTATTCCTCATGTATTTAACACTCAATGGACGTGAGACTGCATTTGCTGAAGATTTTGATGACTGACATTTGCAAAACTTTTCATCAAGCTACTTGATGCCCATCAATTTCCCAGCTTCCATGAGTGATAAAGACATCACTGAAAAATCATGGCTTTAAGGAGCTGCATATAAACTTCAAATTGAGTGTTGGCAAGAAACAACAAATCAAAGGGTTTTTTTTTACTTTTTCCTAATTCACTTAATTTGTGACTTTGAAAGCACTGAGTATGTTAGAAGCTTATTTTTAATGACTTTTTAATATGAATTTTATGTGGCTGTAAAACAGATACTCTTTAAAATCTCGTTCTTACACCCTAAGGAAAGAAGCTGTATTTTTTCATTACCTTCCAAAATGGTATTCAAACATAACAATTCATATATTAATGCTTTCTGCTCACTGCAGATTGCAGTATAGCTAATGCTAAGTGAAATATGCTTACTCTCTAGCCAAGGAAGCTATAAAAGTTTAAATCAAAAAAAAAAAAACAACAGAAAAAAGCTTTTACAGTGAAAACCGTAATAAAGCAGCTGAACCACACCTATTCATTCCTCAGCTTTTCCCTATGATTCTATGACTTGATACTACCAGAGCATTACACTTTTAATTGCCTTTTGGACCACCACATACTGTGGGGCTGACTTTATCTGGATCTATCAGATGCTGCCATCCTTCACACTTCTCAAAAGTAACTAAAGTGTTTTTGTGTCACATTTTGACCCACTGTTGATGATTCGCTATTGTTGAGTCTGGTTTACGTCATTGTCTCAAAGGCATTTGCAGGCTTTTTGGGTTTTGACTTTGGACTCATCCTGTGGTGAGCTGAGCAGATTGGTGCTGCTGTGAGTGCTGAGTAAGAAGCTACTTCTGCAAGGAGCTGCTATAAACTCAATGAGCTGTGCAAAGAGATCTGGAAATACCAGACCCAAGATCTGTTGGGTGTTTCTGTGCTAGTAAATTAAATGTGACAGAGAGCTTATCTGGGCACTAAGGCAAATTCTGGAATGGCTTGCCCCTATTCAAGTAGTTTTCCTCCCCAAGTAGGGTTGCTGCAAGCTATCATCCCCAGACCACTCCATTTGCCAAACTGTGCAAAAGGAGGCAAACAGTTGGTCTCGTGCAAATCCTACTTGGGAGGACACTAAAAGTTTATGGATAGAAGATATTGGATGGCAATGCCCAGAAATGTTAACACACACTTGAGTTTACTGATTCACCCCCAGCCTGGGGGTCTTTCTCCTGCAGAGCCTGCATTCTCTCAGTGCAAAAGCAGGAGCAGCACCAGGGTGAGTGTAAAGGCAAGAATTAGGATGTGAAGGGCAGAAGTTCTGCCCCTAAAGCCAGCTCTGCCCTCATTACCTTTGGCAGAAAATGAAGCCAGATGCCATCAGTGCTAGACAGCAGGTGATTTACATAGCTGTGTTCAAAGTGTAGCACACCAGAAACTAATTTCTTGAGACATATCTACATACAATAGCAAAGGCTGTGAAGATGTTTTCTTTCAGGCTGTTGGTTAAAACTTGCAGATTTCTTCTGTTTTAGGCTAGAACTGGTGTTTTAAAAATCAAGTGAACAAGAAACTCAAACAAGGGGAGAAATAAATGAAGAAAAAGGAAAGTTTTAAAGAAACTCTTTGAGTTTTATTCTAGATTGAAAAGCAGCCTCATGAATTAGAAAGTTTATGGTTTAAGTGTTGCAGAACTTGTTCATCTTCCTAAGCTAAAAACTGATGATGTATTTAATACTTTTTCTTAAAACTTGGCCCTTCAGAATAGAAATAAGGAAGAACTGGTTATTGAAAGAACTTTAAACTCTCACTCAAACAATAAAAAAATGTTAACTTTTGCTTACCTGGTATAAAACAGTTTCTGAAATATTCAGAAGTGATCTCTGGTTATGGGAGAACAAATTTTGAGTCCCTTCCTTCTGCCCTTCTCCTGGCATTGCAAGTTGCCAGCTGCTTCTGAAACTGGGGTTTAAGAACTTAACAAAGTGCTCACATAACAGCTGCAGTACTTGCATTACTCTTTGATCGCATCGACTTTAAATAATGGTAGAGAAAGCAAGTTCAAAGAAGAAGGTGTTTTCTAAGAGCAGTGATCCCTGTTATGCTGCATTGCTTCTTTCACACAGCTCCTGGAGGAGAGTTATTTTTGTTAGCGTTTATATCCTGGTTTTATTTGAATTGCATATTTTCCCCTCCTGTTATTCATGTGAAAATGTTCAATAGATTGTAACTTAAAAAAAAAAAAAGAATTCTAGTTCAGTCATCAATGTGACAGACTGGGTTTAGTAGTAATTTTGAGGAAAGGAAAAAGCCATAGGCATGAAGCTTAAAGAGATTGTAAAAATTTTGTGTAAAAATGAAGTTACAATGAAATCTTGGCAATCTCTGCCACCAAGTGGCCATTCAGCAAAGTACAGCAGATGTTCTGTGTTACTGCTACACTAAAGCAGGTTTAGTGGAGTGATTGATACAAGTCTAATTTATGTGCCAACTTCCAAGGTGCTGTAGCTAAGTAAAAATAAATTATTTTGTTCAAAAAATAAAGAATATTGAAGGGTCTAACTTAAAATAAAAATACTGCAGTGTGTCTGGTTTTATAGGCTTGCTCTTTGTCACAACTAATTTCACCATGTGTTACTGATTTTGCTATTTCTAGTGAAAATCAGGTTCTAGTTAAGCACTGGATTAACTTTTGAAGTGAACCAATGTAACATAAATTTGAAACCAGTAACCAGCATGACAGATTACATTTAAAATACATAATAAAAATAAAAAACCAACACCTGAAATTAATAAATAATAAAAATAATAAAATTAAATGCAGTTGCACATTAAATGTAAACTGGTAAGTAACAGGATCATGAATAGTATCACAGCTGCAGACTAAGTCCTGCTTATTCCTCATCCACATCAATCATGTTTTATATTTCACTTTCTTTTTAATTCTTCAAACAACTACTCATTGAACTGGACCCTTTATCAATCTAAAGTAATATTAATTTCACTTTGACAGTTGCCTTTCACTCTTACTGCAGCCTGGTCATTCAGCCAGCGCCTCAGTTCACCATTTTGTGATGCTTTAGTCCTCAAAGATGTAAATCAGTCATGAAGCCTGCAGTTTGCATCCTTGGTGTTTCATCAAGGAGTGATACCCTTTCAGTATATTTAGTAAAGAAGATGCTACTCAGAAATGTCAGCTGATAATTTTGTGGTCCCTGGCATGACCTGAATAACAGATTACGTTCAGCCATTAGTGCAAGTGAGTGGAAAAGCAAACACCTTGTGTATTTTGTGGTTGTGTAGGTGACATTAGATATGGGCAAGTGCTATGAAAGAAAGGAAAAGAATAATGCAGCTACCTCTCCTTCTTCCTTGACTTCTCCCACACCATGCCCTGACTCCTTCATCCATTGCCTATGAAGCTGTGGTGCACCTGTGTTGCCCTCCTCCTAATGTGGGTCCTCCTCCTCTGCAGAGGGAAAGGCTGTGAGGAGGTGTCTGCTCTGCTTTGATCATTTGAGCATGTTTAGGAGTAGGTGAGAGGCAGAATAAAGGGAGTAAACTTCCCAGTTCTCACTTTCCTGCATCAAAGTCTGAAAGGGTTTGTTTCATGAGCACTTTACCACAGTAATCGAATACTTCCCAAATTGAGTTTACAGTTAGTGTTCTGTCATATGATATATGCATGAGGTAATTTAACCATATTGTGCTTCTATTTATTTTGCACTGTAAATTATGTTTCCATTTCAGCTTGGTCAAAGGAAACAATCCAGTATAAGAAGCTCAGATGAAATCCACTTAAACAGTTTAAACAATCCTCCAAGGCAATACCAGGTAAAAAAAAAATTTATTTTTAAATGAGATCATGTATAGAACTGGCAGACTGACAGCATGAGGACAGTGTTGCATTTATGTTAAATAATATGAATCAAGAATAAATCCACAGACCTTGTATATATAATAAATAAATGCAATTATTTAGGCATTTGCAGTACAACCAGGATATTTTTCTTCCCTTGTAGCTTATTAAATACTACCTTTAATGTGCAACATTTTAAAGCTCTTGAAAAATGTTTTTAATTTTAGAGGCAGGTTGAGTCCTCAACTGCACAGTGTGAATTAGAAAAAACAAAATGAATCACAGAATCTTCCTGCTCCATCTGCTGAAGCTGCTTAGGTTATTGTGTCACATCTTTATACACCAATACTTCATGCACTGCAAATACCTTTCAGCCTTTATGCTGTCAGTACAGTCTGTTTATTCTTTGTCTCCCCAGTAACTGTAGTGCAAACCTCTGTGTAATTAAGTATGAAACACCCAGCACAGTCCACGTAAAGCTCAGCTATTCTGGTCCAGAGGCTTCTCCTTTCCTTCCTGTAATACTGCAAAGCTGGTAGAAAGCAAGAAGCAAGACCTGCTTGGGCCAAGATCATTTGAATGCCAAAGGGTGCAGAAAATAAGTTCTTTAAGACAAAAAAGCTTTTCCCTTTGGGCAGGGTAGCTCAGCTCCACTCTTACATTGTGCAGCTTCTGCGCAAGTCTTTTCTAAATACTCTAAAACCAGCCAATTTCATTATACAGTGGCAGATATTAAGATTACAAATGTATCCCTAAATGTGAGAATGTGCGGCTTTGTATTTGAAACATTCTTGTATTATTAGAATAAACAGTACAGCTGCTGACCCTGCAAGCATGACTGTAGTGGTGGTCTGGAATCATTAATCATGGACGATTCACTTCACAACCACCTCTGGTGAAGTCTGTTACTGTGGAGACAAAACCAGACATATAAACATGTGTATATTTTGTGTCTTGTAATGAAAACCAAAAAGTATTGTGTTGTCATGGGTTGCATCATATGAAAATACTAAACCCAAAGTATTCTACAGAAATACAGGAAAGACAGATCCTCAGAGGTAATTAGATACCTTGATCTTACTCAAGTAATTTGAAGTAATGGGATAATCAAGGGCAGAATCCATTTTTCCTGGAACGGTGAAGTTTACATTGGAATTTCCTGGCCTAGGTTCCACTTGTTATTAGCAGAGAGGGTAGTCATTGTAATAGTGTGATTTGTTTGATTCATTTTAGTTGTCTGAGATGAACTTTGCTCTCAGGTTTGCTTTTTCTGTCCACAGAAGGAATTAAAGGTGACTACCGCAGATATGTATATTTACATTAGAAAGTAACTGTATTTGGTTAAATGATTCCCAGCTGAGATGCTTAAATGACAGTTAGAATTGTGGGGCCCATTTTCTCCAAGCCTAATGTTAGGAAAAGTTAACTTATCAAATATAATCTAAAAAAAAAAAAATTAAAATAAATTTATGGCAAAAGGGTTTAGCAGTTAGCGCTGCTAATCATCTTCTGGTAGCAATAAAGGCTAGATGGTTTCACCTACATGGAGATCAAAGCTGCAGAGGTCTTTATTAATCATTCTGATAGACTTCAGTATTAGATTAAGCTTCGTGAATGATAACATTTGTAAGATGTGTTTAGTTTTCTAACTTTCATGTAAATATATGTGCAGATTCATGCAGTTTAAATATGTACCATAGATGAAAGCAGAGATTTTTACATTACATTCCTTTTAACCTGGCAAGTCCTATGCTGAAATGTCTGTATGCAGCACAAGGTAAGAGAGCTCATATTTTAAAATGTCACTAGAAAGTCCAACTAAGAAAAGTATCTTTCTTCTCTGCAGAAAATAATGAAGCGTCTCATTAAAAGATATGTACTGAAAGCTCAGATAGATAAGGAAAGTGATGAAGTCAATGAAGGTAAGTTGATTAATTGTATGTTTGTCCTTAGCCAGAGAATCAAAACAAACTGAAGTGGCTACATATGCCACTTCAAAAATTGTTACCAAAATACTTAATCTGCCTGTCTGCTTGACAAGTTCAAGATGTAAAATTAACATGAAGTTAAGGAAGAGATGCAGCTTTCTGTCTCTGCTCTCCCATCAGAAACTACTAATGATCTAACCACTTCTTGTGGAAAGTGTTGCTATTTCTAATAATGACCACGCATTTCCCATGGTGAAGCTGCATTTAATGCAGCAGTTGGTTTGTGACGCTCCTGTACATATTCCCCGTTGTGTGTTCTTATTGCTGATTCTTATCACTCTCTACAACTACCTGAAAGGAGGTTGTAGTGAGGTGGGTGTCAGCCTCTTCTCCCAAGTAACAAGGAATAGACAAGAGGAAATGGCTCCAAGTTGCACCAGGGGAGGTTTAGATTGTAGGTTAGGAAAAATTTCTTCTCTGAAAGAGTTGTCAAGCATTGGAACGGGCTGCCCAGAGATATGGTAAAGTTACCACCCCTGGACATATTAAAAGACGTGTAGATGTGGCCCTTAGGGGCATGGTTTAGTGGTGGACTTGGTACTGCTAAGTTAACAGTTGCACTCAGAGATCTTCAGTCTTTTCCAACCTAAATGATTCTGTGATTCTGTGATCTCTCTTGCAGCAGAAGAGCAGATTCCATTTAACTTATCATTTGAGTTTTGTGAACTCATGTGATCTCTCGCACTTCTGCCTTCAGATTTGGTTCCTGAACTGTATTTTCATATTCCTATCCCTAAGTCACCATTCACCAATAAGCAGCAGAAATTGGCTTTTCGTGTTTCAGCAAAGAAATCCAGAGAAGGCTCTTGATAACTGTGAGATATTTGAATATGCTCATTTTTTATTGTGTTTCTTAATAGTGTGGTCTTCTAATGTCTGTTGCAGGTGAACTGAAAGAAATTAAACAGGACATCTCAAGTCTTCGATATGAACTCCTTGAGGAAAAATCTCAAAATTCTGAAGATCTGGCAGAACTTATAAGGAAACTTGGGGAAAAACTGTCAATTGACTCTAAGGAAGAAGAAAGCAAGAGATAACCTAAATGATGAAGAAATGCAACAGAACATTAACAGTTCACTTAAAGCCATATTTCTGTTTTGCTCAAGTCTAGCTCACATTTCTACAACAGATTCAGAAATTAAATCATTCCAATGCTTTATTGAAAAAAACAGAGTGGCAAATCCCCCATGTCTATGGCAGGGAGGAGATACCACTTGAGTAAAGATATTTATTCTTTACCTGCTGAAGAATACTCAATTTGAGATAATTTTAATATTCCATTTACCTCTTTTAGAATTCCAGTGGAATCTTGATAAGCCCAGTCATGAAAGATTAAAAGCATAAACCTTAACTTTTCCTACATTAACTGATTATTTTTGCAAATTTCCTTTTATAGATGTTCTTACATATATTTTAGTGAAGCAAAAGAAGAAAATTCCAGACTTTTACGTATTTATATCAGCATAAAATATTTAATTTTTCAAGCATTCCCAACTAGCAAAAAAAAGAAAAAAAAGCTGTATCTGCCTTTCTTACAAATGTAATAATTTATTTGAACTTTTCCTTGAAGAGGTAGATAGCAGAATGCTCACACACTGTGTTAACACTTTTCCCTACTTATCCTTGTCACCACTGGAGTATCCTGAAAGATACCTAAGTTCCAACGGGAGTTAGCACATTAGGAAAGAAATATTTTTCACCAAGTTTATGAAAAGCTATTGCTGAGGCCTAAAGAAAAATTATTTAATCAAAAATAATTAATCCTTGAAGTTCTAATCTGCTCCAGAATTTCCAAGTTCTTCAGCTTTTATGTGTTGAACTAAAACTCCCAAACTGCAGGGTAGGGTTTGGATATAAAGCCAGTAAGAGGTTTATTTAAGGTAGAAGATGCTAAAATATTAGATGCAAGACCTCTCTCTGAATTCTGGGAATGTCATACATTGGAGACCATGTATTCCCACAGTTAAACTTGTTTAAATCCTTGAAGTTTGTTCAGATCTATTGTTAGCAAACAAAACCATGTTATTGCAAAAGTTCATGAAATATCATCTCTGGGTTTGCATCCCTTGTCCTTTTTTCCTCTGAAGAAAGCTCAGCTCTTGTGCTGTATTCCCTAAGAATCATTCAATGAAGAATCTTCCCTCCATGTTGTCAGCAGAAGCCTCCAATGCTTCTGCCCTACCCACTGCAATACTTCTTCTATGTCTGTTAAACTGGTGAAGAGGTAGCCCATGCCATGCCTGGCTGGTAGGTGTGTAACTAGCCAGCTAATATGTCTGTGCAGAACAGTCAGCTAGCTTCTGTCTCTCCAGATGGATCTGGCTAAATTTTGTCCATTTTTCCTCCTCAGTTAGTAGAGTAATTTGGTTTCTCCTGACACTCAGCAATTCTGGGGCTGTTAGAAGCATATATTACATTGGGGTTCTCTGTTCCTCTTCAAGCCTGGTTAAAATTAGTGAAAGGGCTGTGAGAAACTGTAACCAGAACTTTAAGATTTATGATGCTCCTGTAAAAGCCTTGTATGTTGAGGAAGCAAGGCTGAAAATGGCTTGTCAGTAATTGCTTTTAAATCAGCTTTGTGAAACTTATTGTGGAATGTAACAGAATGTTTCCACTTCTCTCTTTGAGGCTGGAGGTTATTTTTTAATGGATTTAGATTAGTTTCTAGATGAATTTACTGATAGTCTGTTTTTAAAAAAATTGTTGTTGAAATCACTGTGCATTTTCAGGGAAAAAAAAAAAAAGAGTGCATTAGAACAGGTTTTGAAATCATGTGGAGACAAGTGGAGGTGGAGGGCTATGTCCTGCCTGGAGAGCAGTGGAAACTGCTCAGGAGTTCAGCCTGCCCTGAAGGAGTGTGTCATGGTTTGTCATGGAGGAACTGCTCAGCCTTTTGCTTAGCCCATTAGTTTAGCCACAAGTGGAGTTATGTGGAACAATCCATGTCCTATTGGCTGAGTTATGAACTCAGGGTTTAGAAACTTGTAAGGCTTCTTCCTCTGAGGGAGAAGGGAAATGAGATTTTCAAAGGTAGTAGAGCAGTTTGAACTAAAAACCACAGTGTGCTGACCTGAAAAGCTATGAGCTACCGAATAGCCAATGTCATTACGCCTTTGATCATGAGAAAGCATTACCTCATACTCTGCAGCATTTCCTGCAGTAATCTACAGGGGGTACTGCAGACTCTGAGATGACCCAACTGGCTGGTCTTCTGCAGAAGCACTCTGGGTTCCGTGTCAGATGTTGTGTGGAAAATGAAAGCAGCTGGGGTCATCTTAGGCTGGAAGGCAGCGTGACCCTAACTTCACTGCCGTTCATCTCCTGCATGGTTCCTGCCCATCTCCCTTGGCCAAGACTGGCCGCTGATTTTGAGCTCTGGGTTGAGTATTTTGGGGCTGGTTTTCTGAAGTCGTAAGAACTTACTACAGCTCTATTGAATGAGCACGTCAGAGGCCATACTGCTCAAAGCAGATCTCCCACCTTTGGCAAGCTCTTTGGAAGATCTGTTGGTCAGAACTTCAGGTAACAAGGACAGTCTAAAGTCCATTTTTGGTAATTAAAAAATCTTTATTTTTTGCCTTTGCAATGTAAAATTTGGATCTATGGTCCTGTGCTAGATGTTGGTAAAACCCTCATAAACCCAATATAAGGAAACACATAAACACAGTTTAAGATCCAGGCACTTTTAAAGTGAAAATTTTTACTACAGAGGTAAAATGTACACTGTGAATTTGTTTAAGCCCAAATTTTGACTTACCTTTAAACTATAAGATCATCATGTATATATTGTATTTCATGAAGAAAATACATATGGATTTTTTAATTCAATGAAGATATTTTATATGTAGTTATTACTCATGGAAAAATTTGTTAAATATATTTGAAGAGGTCTATTGCCAAATGTAGTGTGACAAGCAATGTAGTATTTAAAATGAGCACAATATCAAATATATTATTCTGATAAAAAAATTAAAGGTAACAGACTAAAAACACCTTTGTGATGCATTGTATGAACACATTGGTCCTTCACTGGGAACCTTTGTCTGCTCTTGCTTGGAAGACAGCAGCAAGACAAATATGGTGAAATAATTTGCTAGCAACACTAGTACAGAAATGGTTTCACAGAAGGAATGAAGGTTTCTTCATATGTGATTAGACTTGAGGTCAAACATTTTGTCTGCTGTGACTAGTGGTGACTGATGCTAGATGTTTCAGAACATCTGTAATAGGTAACAGACATTTTGCATCCTGCATAGTTCTCCTAGTTTCTAGAAAGACAAGATTGACATAATTTTGATGAGGAAGTGTTTCCAGGGTTGGTTTTGTTTTGTTTTTGTTGGTTTTTTTTTTTGTGAGCTATTAGCAAGATAGTCTTGCTACATAGTCAGTGTTTTCTTAAATAGTTATTTTTTTGAGCTCAGCATTTCACAGTTTCTGCAGCAGCAGCGTACACATCAAAACCAGACCTACTATGAAGAAGTATTGCCTTTGTAACTTCTTTATAATTTCTGAGTATCCCTAACTATTGGGAAAAGTTCATACATCATGGAGGACTGCAGATATTAGAAACTAATACTGCAATGCAAGCTTAAGGTACTCAAGATTTACAGTAACAGGTTCTGAGTAAGCTACAGGGTTTCACATATAGATCTGGATATTCCAGATTAAAGTCTTCTGTATTTCACCATATTTTAGAGCACTTCCAGGCCAAGCCAATGAATCTTACTAGTTTTAGAGGTGGGATTTACAGGTTCATCTGGTTTTAGCCGTAAGGACTGCTGCATCAGAGGTCATCTAGACTTCCTTTATGTTCAGTGGATTGAAATGGTCAAAGGCATGATTTTGTTTCATGTTATGGTAGGCAAGTATCCCAGGTAAGGCATGTAGTAGAAGGGAACATTTCATTCAAATTACTCTAAAGAAGCCTTTGCAACTGCTGCTGTTGCAATCATATAAAATGTATTGAAGTGTGAGTAATCCCAGTTTGGCAGGAATGAGCACTGCAGTACGCTTCGGAGCCATGACCCATTCCAGATGCTCATTTACTTGGAAGTGCTTGAACCAATCAGGCCTGTTGTTGAGAGAAGCAGGATCTAATCTGCCTCAAGAAGAATCCAGCCCATCCCCTAGGAACTGTGGATGAGTGCAATTTTTCTTTACTCTGGGACATTATTACATTTTGTACTTCTTCATAAAGTCTAATTATTTGTAGATATAAATGAAAATACCTATTTACTGCATCTACCCCAGACATAAGAAAAACTGTACTTACTGTGAACAGGGCAACTAAATTCTTGTTACTCAACCAGAAGCTTTATGAAGTTCATAATCCATGTCTTAGTATCTTGGTGAGCATCTATATATATATATATGTCTTTAAAATTTACAAAGTACAGTTTGATCTTGGCAGTACTTCAGCTATAGCAGCTGTATCATGTAATTTACTAAGAATATGTTATCGTAACCACTGGGTCCCAAAATGCAGTTTTGACCAATGAAATCTTTTATTTGCCTCTCAGAGATTTCCCTCAAGCCTGATATTTGTAGCTGAACATTATAATTAATATGCAACATAATGTGCAACTGTGCTCATTTACAGAACAGTGAGAATTGTTTTTATGTTGAAAATTGCTCATTTTTCATGTAAGTATTTAACACTTTTTTTTAATTCATTAGAAAATGCCTGGTGTATAATATTTCCAAGCATTTATGTTCCTGCTTAAATTTTAATTCGGCCTGTGGAAAATAGAACTCAAATGTAAAAGTTTGTGTTTGGAAAAATACTTGTACTTCAGGAGCTCATATCAAAAGAGAAGTTATGTGAAGCTGAGGAGAGTACCTTAAACTCCACGCGCTTAGAAGGCCAGGGAATCCCATATGATACACTGCTCTTCCCTGGTGTGTATGACCTTGAGTAGCTCAAAATATTTCATTTGTTCTCTTGTTTCCATTGCTGCAAAACACAAGTATCCTGTTCCTCTTTATATTTTTGTCACCATCCTTCATATGACAGTGTAGTAGGGATCACAGGGATCACAGCCTTCCAGTGCTTTCTGTGTCCAGTCAATTGTATTTTAGTAGCATCTGATTTTGTTTTAACCTTTTCAATATTTTGTGGTTCAGCTCCTTGACATTTACTCTTTGCTCCTTTAAGTGATTTTCCTGGGTTCAGCAGTAGCAGTCATTTTTTCTCCTTCTTAGTAGCTGGTGCAGCACTGTGTTTTTGACTTTCGGCCTGGGAACAGTGCCGATAACACTGATGTTTTTAGTTACTGCTCAGATGTTTAGTCTGACCAAGAGTCTCATGCTTTGCCAGGGAGGATTGGAAGCTGGGAGGGAGCAGAGACAGTACACCTGACCCAAACTAGCCAAAGAGGTATTCCATACCACAGTACGTCATGCCCAGGATGTAAACTGAGAGTTACCTGGAAGGGCAAGATCACTGCTCACTCGGGCTGGGTATTGGTCAGCGGGTAGTGAGCGGCTGTATTCTCTTCCCTTGTTATTTCCCT